GTACATGACACACTCGTCCAGGTGTTTAATTGTGTTCCGGGGCCATCATAGATGAGGTACATGACACACTCATCCGGGTGTTTAATTGTGTTCCAGGGCTATTATAGATGAGGTACATGACACACTCATCCAGGTGTTTAATTGTGTTCCAGGGCCATCATAGATGAGGTACATGACACACTCATCCAGGTGTTTAATTGTGTTCCAGGGCTATTATAGATGAGGTACATGACACACTCATCCAGGTGTTTAATTGTGTTCCAGGGCCATCATAGATGAGGTACATGACACACTCATCCAGGTGTTTAATTGTGTTCCAATGCCATCATAGATGAGGTACATGACACACTCATTCAGGTGTTTAATTGTGTTCCAGAGCCATCATAGATGAGGTACATGACACACTCATTCAGGTGTTTAATTGTGTTCCAATGCCATTATAGATGAGGTACATGACACACTCATCCAGGTGTTTAATTGTTCCAATGCCATCATAGATGAGGTACATGACACACTCTTCCAGGTGTTTAATTGTGTTCCAAGGCCATCATAGTTGAGGTACATGACACACAAATCTAGGTGTTTAATTGTGTTCCAGGGCCATCATAGATGAGGTACATGACACACTCTTCCAGGTGTTTAATTGTGTTCCAGGGCCATCATAGTTGAGGTACATGACACACAAATCTAGGTGTTTAATTGTGTTCCAGGACCATCATAGATGAGGTACATGACACACTCATTCAGGTGTTTAATTGTGTTCCAGGGCCATCATAGATGAGGTACATGACACACTCATCCAGATGTTTAATTGTGTTCCAGGGCCATAATAGATGAGGTACATGACACACTCATCCAGGTGTTTAATTGTGTTCCAGGGCCATAATAGATGAGGTACATGACACACTCATTCAGGTGTTTAATTGTGTTCCAGGGCCATCATAGATGAGGTACATGACACACTCTTCCAGGTGTTTAATTGTGTTCCAGGGCCATCATAGTTGAGGTACATGACACACAAATCTAGGTGTTTAATTGTGTTCCAGGGCCATCATAGATGAGGTACATGACACACTCTTCCAGGTGTTTAATTGTGTTCCACGGCCATCATAGTTGAGGTACATGACACACAAATCTAGGTGTTTAATTGTGTTCCAGGGCCATCATAGATGAGGTACATGACATACTCTTCCAGGTGTTTAACTGTGTTCCAGTGCAATCATAGATGAGGTACATGACACACTCATTCAGGTGTTTAATTATCCCATCGAACGAAGTTCGGAGGGATATAGGGAACGCCTCCGTCCATCCGTCCGTCCGTCCGGGCAATAACTCAAATACCGTTGGCCCGATTTTATTCATATTTTGTACACATGGTAAAAGTTCTGCTCGAAAGCCGATTTTCAAAATGGCCGCTCATTTAAAAATGGCGGCCATTTTAGTGCCGATTTTACAGTAATTTAGGTGCAATATGTAAAACGGTAATAGCAATATGTTTTAAATGTAAAAAAAATATATAGGACATTAATAAAGCTAGAAATGTAGATATTAAAAAAGCACATGGCAGCCATCTTGAAAAATGGCGGCCTTTACTCGTTATTTTACGATTTTTGCTGTAACTCGAAAAGTAGTGGAGCGATTTTGTTCATATTCGGTATGTGAATACTGTAAGCATGGCACACTGTCTAATGACACTTTTGGTAGAAGGCGACCATTTTGAAAAATGGCAGACATTTTGAAAAATGGCTGCCATTTAAACTTATTTTACTATAACTCGAAAAGTAGTGGAGCGATTTTGTTCATATTTGGTACGTAAATACGTATAAGCATGGCACACTGTCTAATGACACTTTTGGTAGAAGGCGGTCATTTTTCAAAATGGCCGCCATTTTAACATATTTTACTATAACTCGAAAAGTAGTGGAGCGATTTTGTTCATATTTGGTATGTGAATACTATAAGCATGGCACACTGTCTAATGAGACTTTTGGTAGAAGGCGGCCATTTTTCAAAATGGCCACCATTTTAACGTATTTTACTATAACTCGAAAAGTAGTAGAGCGATTTTGTTCATATTTGGTATGTGAATATTATAAGCATGGCACACTGTCTAATGACACTTTTGGTAGAAGGTGCCCCTTTTGAAAAATGTTCGATGGGATTCGCTACGCTTTGGCGTTGCCGTTGTTCTGGTTGTGTTCCAGGGCCATCATAGATGAGGTACATGACACACTCATCCAGGAGTTTAATTGTGTTCCAGTGCAATCATAGATGAGGTACATGACACACTCATCCAGGTGTTTAATTGTGTTCCAGGGCCATCATAGATGAGGTACATGACACACTCATCCAGGTGTTTAATTGTGTTCCAGGGCCATCATAGTTGAGGTACATGACACACTCTTCCAGGTGTTTAATTGTGTTCCAGGGCCATCATAGTTGAGGTACATGACACACAAATCTAGGTGTTTAATTGTGTTCCAGGGCCATCATAGATGAGGTACATGACACACTCATTCAGGTGTTTAATTGTGTTCCAGGGCCATCATAGTTGAGGTACATGACACACTCATCCAGGTGTTTAGTTGTGTTCCAGGGCCATCATAGATGAGGTACATGACACACTCATCCAGGTGTTTAATTGTGTTCCAGGGCCATCATAGTTGAGGTACATGACACACTCATCCAGGTGTTTAGTTGTGTTCCAGGGCCATCATAGATGAGGTACATGACACACTCATCCAGGTGTTTAATTGTGTTCCAGGGCCATCATAGTTGAGGTACATGACACACTCTTCCAGGTGTTTAATTGTGTTCCAGGGCCATCATAGTTGAGGTACATGACACACAAATCTAGGTGTTTAATTGTGTTCCAGGGCCATCATAGATGAGGTACATGACACACTCATTCAGGTGTTTAATTGTGTTCCAGGGCCATCATAGTTGAGGTACATGACACACTCATCCAGGTGTTTAGTTGTGTTCCAGGGCCATCATAGATGAGGTACATGACACACTCATCCAGGTGTTTAATTGTGTTCCAGGGCCATCATAGATGAGGTACATGACACACTCTTCCAGGTGTTTAATTGTGTTCCAGGGCCATCATAGTTGAGGTACATGACACACAAATCTAGGTGTTTAATTGTGTTCCAGGGCCATCATAGATGAGGTACATGACACACTCATTCAGGTGTTTAATTGTGTTCCAGGGCCATCATAGTTGAGGTACATGACACACTCATCCAGGTGTTTAGTTGTGTTCCAGGGCCATCATAGATGAGGTACATGACACACTCATCCAGGTGTTTAATTGTGTTCCAGGGCCATCATAGATGAGGTACATGACACACTCATTCAGGTGGTTAATTGTGTTCCAGGGCCATCATAGATGAGGTACATGACACACTCATCCAGGTGTTTAATTGTGTTCCAGGGCCATCATAGATGAGGTACATGACACACTCATTCAGGTGTTTAATTGTGTTCCAGGGCTATTATAGATGAGGTACATGACACACTCATCCAGGTGTTTAACTGTGATCCAGGGCCATCATAGATGAGGTACATGACACACTTATCCGGGTGTTTAATTGTGTTCCAGGGTTATTATAGATGAGGTACATGACACACTCATTCAGGTGTTTCATTGTGTTCCAATGCCATCATAGATGAGGTACATGACACACTCATTCAGGTGTTTAATTGTGTTCCAGGGCCATCATAGATGAGGTACATGACACACTCATTCAGGTGTTTAATTGTGTTCCAGGGCCATCATAGATGAGGTACATGACACACTCATTCAGGTGTTTAATTGTGTTCCAGGGCCATCATAGATGAGGTACATGACACACTCATCCAGGTGTTTAATTTTGTTCCAATGCCATCATAGATGAGGTACATGACACACTCATTCAGGTGTTTAATTGTGTTCCAATGCCATTATAGATGAGGTACATGACACACTCATTCAGGTGTTTAAATGTGTTCCAGGGCCATCATAGTTGAGGTACATGACACACTCATTCAGGTGTTTAATTTTGTTCCAGGGCCATCATAGATGAGGTACATGACACACTCTTCCAGGTGTTTAATTGTGTTCCAGGGCCATCATAGATGAGGTACATGACACACTCATTCAGGTGTATAATTGTGTTCCAGGGCCATCATAGATGAGGTACATGACACACTCATCCAGGTGTTTAGTTGTGTTCCAGGGCCATCATAGATGAGGTACATGACACACTCATTCAGGTGTTTAATTGTGTACCAGGGCCATCATAGATGAGGTACATGACACACTCATCCAGGTGTTTAATTGTGTTCCAGGGCCATCATAGATGAGGTACATGACACACTCATCCAGGTGTTTAATTGTTCCAGGGCTATTATAGATGAGGTACATGACACACTCATCCAGGTGTTTAATTGTGTTCCAGGGCTATTATAGATGAGGTACATGACACACTCATCCAGATGTTTAATTGTGTTCCAGGGCTATTATAGATGAGGTACATGACACACCCTTCCAGGTGTTTAATTGTGTTCCAGGGCCATCATAGATGAGGTACATGACACACTCATCCAGGTGTTTAATTGTGTTCCAGGGCCATCATAGATGAGGTACATGACACTCATTGAGGTGTTTAATTGTGTTCCAGGGCCATCATAGATGAGGTACATGACACACTCATCCAGGTGTTTAACTGTGTTCCAGTGCAATCATAGATGAGGTACATGACACACTCATCCAGGTGTTTAATTTTGTTCCAGGGCCATCATAGATGAGGTACATGACACACTCATTCAGGTGTTTAATTGTGTTCCAGGGCCATCATAGTTGAGGTACATGACACACTCATCCAGGTGTTTAGTTGTGTTCCAGGGCCATCATAGATGAGGTACATGACACACTCATTCAGGTGTTTAATTTTGTTCCAGGGCCATCATAGATGAGGTACATGACACACTCATCCAGGTGTTTAATTTTGTTCCAGGGCCATCATAGATGAGGTACATGACACACTCATCCAGGCAGCAGGCAATTTCTACATCAATGATAAATCTACAGGTTCTGTCGTTGGCCAACAGCCCTTTGGTGGTGCTAGAAACTCAGGTTTGTGGAACCCCTAGTCTAGAAACCAGGGTTTATTAAGAAATGGCTGTTAAGAATAATTAGTAAATTAGTTAAAAACACCTTAAGATTAATTGTTTCATAGACCTTATCTGACTGTCTTTATCTTTAAATTTGATTGCCCTCAGAATGTGTTTGCCTTTAAAGGTTACCCCTGTGTATGCCAATTGGATTTGTTTGCTCCCATTAGGTTTTTTAACAACTCCCTTGTTAGTCAATGTACACGTATGTGTATATTTATCCCCAATGTGAATGTAATAAAGCCTGAATTCTGTTGAACATTTATGTAATTGCTAATTTCAAGGTGTTCTTTATTGCCTGAAATTTTGATGTATTGTTTTGCTCTATCACTTTATAGTAGGCTGTATTTTCGTAGCTTCCGGTGATTTCAGTAAAATTAACACATCATTGATGTAAGTCATGCTAAAGTGAAGGCCATATTCTTTAGATTTATTTTAACACAATGACCATTCTAAATGTTTCAAGCATTGTTCATGTACATGCTTATCAATCATGTTCATAGCATGTTCATTAGAATAATTGAATATAGATAACATCATGGGAAATATTGTTTTTTCTAATCCATTTCTCATATTATTAGAAGATTTATTTTAGCTTTAAGTGAGTAGAGATGACAGGGAATATTACTATTATGATTGCATGATCCATGTATAAAATGAATATAGATACAATTTCTAAGCTTTTAAGCCAATTGGTAATCATCTCTAAAAGATTAAGAACCACTCCTGTACACTCCTGTGTTTTGGTCTAAAATAGTCATTGATGGATGGTAGTGGTGCCTGTTTTGATATGGGTAGAATGGCTCCTGTGATTTCTAAGTTTGTATTATTTCCTAACCCTTTTGTTTTTATTATCTCATCACACATTAGACATGAGACTTTAAGGCCAGAAGATATATTGATGAAATGAACAAATATTTATGTGTGGTATGTATATTGCCAAACAAAAGCTCTTTGGATACAATATGCAATTAATTATTGTATTATATATATTATTATTACAGATATCATATTATCAATTATTTAATGTCACGGTCTCAGCTAAGGTACCAATTTGTCCAAAGTTTATTGCATGTTTTGGAAGTAATATTTGTATTATTGTGTTGGTATTTCCAGGTACAAATGATAAAGCTGGAGGCCCCCACTATCTGCTGAGGTTCCTCTCCCCACAGGCAGTCAAGGAGAGTAAAGCCAATTTAGGAGACTGGAAATACCCATATATGGAAGGATAAGTCAATTGTGTAGACTGGAAATGCCCTTATATGGAAGAATAGATAATGCATGAAAGAGAATCGGTAACCTGAGTATCTCTTCAAATGTATTATTTCAAATCTATCACAAATTGTTTGTTTTTGGAAATGTGCAACAGGGTGGAGGTCATACAATTGAGTTCATTAACAAGGGAATACTACTGTACTCCTGGTATATTTCACGCGTTTTAATTTTGCAAATTTTGAGAAATCACAATTAAGCAGATCGTTGTTCCCTCTTCAAAAGAAGAGATGCGAAAATCTTTCCTTATAAGGTCAAAATATTTCCCATGATGCAGTTCGCAGTGGAACAAATTTATACTTCCTTGTTTTCCCCCATAGGTTTAACATGGGGATTTTCACACCTATTTTTCAAACTATGGTGAAAACTATGATTTAAAAAAGAGAAAAGGTTCCGGAAGAGGTCACGTGATCAGTTGACTAGTTGCCATATTGGAAAAAAAACATTTCCATTTGACTTTCGACACTTTCGTGCCAATCGCACTACAAACTGCAACATCGATGCAACAACTGAATAAAAGTACTCATCTTCAAATTACATTATAGAGTTACGTTGAAAACCCCAAAACAACTGAGCAGTTGACCAAAGAAGACGCGTCGCTATTATCTAGGTCAATCTGTTCAGTGAATCGAAAGAAAATCTATAGTACTCATTTCCGAATTTTGTTGTTCATTCATGTACAATCTTTTATTGATTAAACTCGGTATACCGATTATTAAAGTAATGACAAAGAAGAATACTTCCGATGGTGTCATTGTTTTTATCATTTAGCGTGCGGGTGTAAAACAACTTTGCGTAATTATTTATTATATAAATATTGACTTATCAAAGGACGATTCTCGGTTTGGAGAACAGTCTCCTGGGCTAATAATTTTTTTCATGAAAAATATAGAAATATTACCCAAATTAAACTATGAATATTCAAAAGAGGACATTTAAATCTACAAGATGTAAAATTAACAAATTGGTCTGAAGCAGGGATAATGCTCAATTAGACCGATTCAATAAAATACAAGTCTCGATTTGGGGAAAGAAGTTCATCAGTGTACTGCGCTAATATATTCTTTGCGAAAAATCTAGAAATATTACCCAAATAAAATTATGACTATTTAAAAGAAGACATTCAAATCTATATTATGAGAAAAAAATCAAATTTGTCCGAAGCAGGGATAATGCTCATTTAGATTGATGAACTTCGTTCTCCAAACCGAGAATCGTCCTTTAGTCCTTTTGGGTACATATTTGCTCCATATTTGCGAACGTTCCGATTCAAAGAGCGAACCGCGAGATGGAAAATTTTGTAGCTACTTAATTTTGAGGATTTGACAATTTAAATTTCGTTATTTTCTAAAGCCTCAAGCTTTACATTGTTGCTATTATTTAAAGTAGATATGAAATGGTATTGTTGACCTAAAGGAATCAATAGAATTTTTTGATAAATGTATTTGGACATGTTTTCTCATCAGTATTCTGAGTATTATTTCACTCTAACGATAGTTATAGCTGCTTTTCAAAAGCAATATTCGAATAAGTTGTGACGTTATTGGCCCCCACGTGACCTCTCACTGGCCCCACGTGGCCCATTTTGGTCCATTAAATCATGACGTCATAATGCCAAGATGTTTTGTTATTTGTTTACACAACAATCATGTGGTTGCCGTGACGTCGTGATTACCAAGGAACCAATAAATCAAAACTATATGTTATGTATGACGTTACTAATCATGTGGGGGCCAATCTGATTGATCAGTTAATTTTATTATGTTATTTATGACCATTAACAGTTATCTAACATTTCTTTTATAATGGCCATTACAAGAACTCTACGATGGGCTTACAATGAAGATGATCACATTTTACTAGCTGCAAGTTGAGAAAATCTATTTCAGTTGTCCTTTAATTATCATGATTTAATTTGCACATTTAGCGAAGATTATTTTTCGTGACTTAACCACAATCATGAATTTCGTGAAATTAAAATGCAGGTGAAAATCCCAGGGGTACAGTATTAATATATGGAAATCAATACATTGAATATTACTAAGATCTCATTTATTCACTGCCTATTAAAAAGTCTTTTGTTCAAGTGAGGTACAATCAGTGCAGAGTGTAGTATCTAAATGAAATTATTTTCATGAATCAGATGTACTCTAAACCAATGATTAAAGGATTTTCGATATGGCTTTGAATTAAATGATTCATTTTGACAATGGAAAATATGAATAGCTTTTGGTACTGACGTAAATGATATCTTGCATGTACAGGCACAATCTGACTCTACTATTGATTTTTTGTGTGGAGGATTTTTAGTGCAACATTCTAGGAATTTTGATAGCTTCATGTTTGGTGAAAAACTTGGTGCTGTTTATGTCTCATTTTATCACCAAACATGGCTTTTTTAGTGTAACGTTTTAAGATTTTTAAAATTATGGATTTTTGGATGTGCATTGAACTAAATGGAGACAGATCTGGGAATTTGGGAATTAATTGGAGGACACAGTTACGCAAAAGAGATTTAAATCTGGGGTAATATGTCTTCAGTAGCAATGAGAAAGGGACCTTATGTAAAGTGCATTCTTTAACCTTTCACAAACTTCTAAGTCACAATTTTTTTACACATTTCTCTATCAAGGGAATATATCTCGTATAAGATAATATTATTTACCATCAATTTCAATTGAATAATTTGAATTAGGAGTGTTTTAGGATTATTTTTCTTGGAAATACAACTATTAGCCCTTAAACCGTATTCCGTATTTATGCCACAGAGGTTTCAATGTGGGGAAACTTTGCACGAGGATGATCATACTTTTCCTCCCTGGTATGACAACCCCTTCATTAACACATTGACTTAATTATTATATGTATGTATTATTATGTGCGTATGTAATAATTATGTATTGTAAGTTGCAACACGAAGCCTTCAATTTATGTGTAAACGTGCGAAGTAATTTGCAATAACGTGTCAAGGCGTTCAGAATGTCATGCAAGTCTTATGTCAAAGCTTTTTGCACCCCCCTCCCCTTCCTACACAGAGCACATCTCTCATGAGAAGATGAAGACTCAAAAATTGATGCTAGACTCATGAAAATGCTATGCATTGTGAATTATGAAAATTCAAAAATTACTGGTTCTACATAGGTTTATTATATGTACTGTTTTGCTTCAATTGATTAATGTATTAAGCATTTTTTTCTCACTTGAGCTGTCTCATGTTATTAGATATTTTGTAGTCCAATGATATACCTTGATGATCTGGTCTTTTGTTAACCTGTACTAGTCATATACTATAATACTTTAGTATCACGTGTTTAAGTGTTGTATGTTGGTGGTGGGGTCTCACAAATATGATATGGAGATTCAAAGGTTTATATTAGTAATTAGTTTTGTTCTTCAAATAACACTTGATGCCAAAGTCAGGGCTGCTCTTTGAATCATTACATCATATCCTTGGTCTAGCTAGCAAAATCTTTCATCATCTCACTTGTACTTTAAAATCATTATTATTTTTGTAAAAAATATTTGTTGAATTTTGTTGGAAATGTTAATCAGTTTCTTTTGCTACACCACTGCTAGTTTATAAGCACTCTGCCTGGTCAAATTAGTCTGTTTTGATCCCACCGTACAATTTTATATCTGTTCCTCGAGATTTTCTTTTGAATTACGCATTTTTGATATTTTTAAAATATCACGATAGCTATTAACATGTATTAACTCAAGTGGTAAATACATCTTTTGAATTACGCATTTTTGATATTTTTAAAATATCACTATAGCTATTAACATGTATCAACTCAAGTGGTAAATACATCTTTTGAATTACGCATTTTTGATATTTTTAAAATATCACTATAGCTAATAACATGTATTAACTCAAGTGGTAAATACATCTTTTGAATTACGCATTTTTGATATTTTTAAAATATCACTATAGCTATTTACATGTATTAACTCAAGTGGTAAACACATCTTTTTATTCAGAAGTAGATCATACAAGGGTGCATTTTTGCCATGTGATTTTTTCATCATGATTTTGTATCAGTGAAATGTAAAATTAAGCAAAATTATTGCATACTGACCTGCTTCATTTGTTGACGTCATTCTCACTGCATATGCAGTAAAGCAAGATTAAACTGTCAAGTAAGTAGTTGGAGTAGAGGAAGAGCCTTTAACAAAGCTTGGTTTATAGCTTTATACATAGAAAAATGTTAAAATGTTATAAACAGGCTATAAATGAATGGTTAATAATGGGGTAAACAGGCTAAATTACGTTGTGCATAAACTAGAATATAAATGTAAGAGACTTATTAATACTTCATAAGCATAGCTCGATCCATCGTCATGGAAATATATACATTCACCTGTAATCAAGACAATGGGTAAATTATGTATAAACTCTCTAAATGTGGTATTTTTAGAAAAAAGTCTCCATTGTTTTTTTGATTTTTATTATTGATAAACCAAAAAACATATTATGATTGTTGTTTCTATGAGGTATTGTAGAAACAGCTGATTTGATTTGATTAATCAAATTTTACAAAAGAAACGAGGTGTGTTTTATGAAATTAAGCAGCTGTATGGAGGCTTTATAAATCTGTGTCACTTCCAAGTATGGAATAAGATATTCATGTATTATTACATGTATTATACATGTACACATATTATTACATGTATTATACATGTACACATATTATTACATGTATTATACATGTACACATATACCTATGTAAGAAACTACAAAGCAGAATCTGGAGAGATGTATTTCAATCATGTATCAATGGCAGCTTTATACCCTAGGATATTATTATTATACATAATGTATCTGTAGGAATTTATTTGATCATCAAATACATTTTACAGAAAAAATAATATCTTGTTTACAATTGTTTTATGAGCTTATGAAACTAGCTGAGATCTTAAACAAGATCAGATTAGATCTTCAGATCAGAAGAACCCCATTTCACAGTGCCTTTAATCTGTAAGTGAGCTGTAGTTAATTTGGCATGAATCTTAATTTGTTTGTTTGGTTGAACTGGACATATTATTCATTGGTTTATTTACCATTTACACAGCTAGGCAAGGTGTACCCAACTTCAGATAACTGGTGTGCATTATATAACCAATCACCGCATCCAAGGTCATTCCTTATGTGGTTGGAAGGTTACAACTTGACTCTACAGATTGAAATTGATGCTTTGCCAACTTGACCCGAGCAAAAAGTTTCATTGAGAATATGTTCTTTTAGTGATTTCGTATCTTTGAAGTGCTATGTGTGAAAATAATTTAAAGATTCTCG